GTTGACAGAGCCAAGCTTCCTCTGGAGGCTCTAGGGAAGAATCTGTCCTTTTCAGCTCCTGGTGGCTGCCAGTATTCCTTGGCTTGTGGCCAAATCAACCTCAGCTTCCATCTTCACAGCCAGCACCTTCTCTTCGGCGTATCAAATTTCCCTCTGCTTCTTTCTTACAAAAATACTTGTGATTTCATTTAAGACACACCTGGATAATCTAGGATAATATCTCTATCTTAAGACCCTTGCTGGTGTGATTCAATGGGTAGAGCGTCAGCCTGCAAACTGAAGGGTCCGGGTTCTATTCCAGTCAAGGGAACGTACCTCAGTTGTAGGCTCCTGCCAAGCCCAGGCCTGGTCAGGGCTCATGCAGGAGGCAACCAATTGATGTTTCTCTCACATTGACATTTCTTTCTGTCTTTCCCTCTCTCTTCCACTCTCTCGCTAAAAATCAATGAAAAAATATCCTCAGCTAAGGATTTAAAAGAAAAAGAAAAAAAAGACCCTTAACCATCACATCTGTGAAGTCCATTTTTCCTTATTAGGTAAGATTAACAGTTTCCAGGGATAGACCTAATATCTCTGGGTGGCCGTTATTCAGTGTACTGCAACAGACTAAGACCTGGGCATTTCAGCATAACTCGGGCTTAAGGAGGGGTGAGAGATGAGGTAGCAGATATGTGAGCATGAAGAATCTTACAGACCAAAACAGGGTGAGTGATTGGACACCTTAATGAGTTTACGTGAGAGTGAAGTGGTCAGACTTCCCTTGCTGGAGATCTTCCTGACAGCAGTGTAAAGGTTGGAGGGGCTAGACTAAAGCCCACGGTTACGTCTCCACTGGCTAAAACAGGTGAGCTACCCTGGAGAGAAAGTGCCAGGGTTGTCCCTGTAGCCAGCAGGTCACATTTCATCATCAAATGATGTCATTGCAGGCTTTGAAACAGAGAATTTAAGGTCCTAAAAGGACCTCACAAGTACCTAGAGCCTAGGATATGTGGGCTTGGTATGTAAAACAAGAAAAACGTGTTTTTACAAAGACTCTGGGAATCTGAGTGGAAGTGGAGGAAAGCCAGAAAACTAGTGAACCACAATGGAGGGGCCCTTGGACTGCAAAATTCTACTTAAAGTGCCAAAGAACCTCACCCTCAAGAGCAATACCCCGTCAATGACTGACTGATATTGGGGTACTAGAGGGCAGCCCCCTGATTCAAGGTGGAACAGCCCCAGGCTGAGGTTATGTTTGAAACCACATTCTCCTTCCTCTCCTACCCCACCCTCTTCTGCTTCCTTCACCCTGTCACAGGTTCCTCCCAAGAGCTCTCCCTAAAAAAAAATCAGCTACACAAGAATCCTCATCTCAGACTCATCTCTAAGGACCCCACCTAAGACAGCCTCCCTTTATGCCAATGTGGCTCTCAAAACAGTCCTGGCTAAGTGATGGATCATCAAGCAGAAGTTCAAGTCAGCCATCACTCAGTTCTGGGAGAATGCCAATTCTGCACCAGCTAAAAAGAAGAAAGAAGGTTATATTAACAAAATTGATAATAAGTAGATGCCAAAAATCCTATCATCTGCATTAAGTAGAGTGGTGTGTGTTTTTTCCCTCAGAACTTGTTTCTAATTAAAGACTTCCTTTGACACTTATCTCAGTTTTCCCGCACTGAAAATTTGTATTTTTGTGACACTTGTAGTTTTCACCAACTAAATTCTTAAGTCTTCATGAGTGAAGCACCCACGTTGTGTTTATTTTTCCCCCATAATGCCTGTCATGTAGCTGGCATTCAGTAGAGGTTATATAAAGACTTAAAGTTCACATTCTCCTGCCTCTGTGTGGGCTTCAGAGTCTACAGAGCACTTTGCACACCCAGAGTGTGGTCTACAAACTGGAAGCATCAGCACCTCCTGAGAACTTGTTTGAGGTGCAGAAATCAGCCCTAGTTCAGGTTTTAGACATCCATGTGGTTTTATGGGCACTACCTTCTGAAAACCACTGACATACATCCTCTCATTCAACTGTTGGGAGAAAAATTGATTGGAGAGAGGATCATCAACAGAAAGCCACAGGTCAAGAAGTATAATAGCAACAGGAACTGAACCCCGACACGCCTGCCTCCACCTATGCATATCCCCCGCAAGAGCGCCAGGCCCACACTGCCCCATTGTACCACTGGGACTCAGACAAACTGTCTCTCTTAGTTCCTGTTTCCTCCTCAGAAAAATGGGAACAATCTTAGTACAAGTCATACTGGCTAAAAAAATTATGGTACATTCATACAAAGGGATACTATACAACTTTAGGGATGAGGTAAACCTATACCTGAGGTTATAAAAAGATTTTTAATTTATATTTTTATATAATGCAAGATTCTGAAGAGTAAATTGGATAAATATGCATGTTAGATTACAAATAAAAGACTCATTACATATATATGTACATTATACACGTAGGTATACATTGCATATGTATTACATATGTATGTGAAGTTAAAGGACTCATTGCCATATACACACAAATACTTATTACATGTAGTGTGTGTGTGTGTGTGTGTGTGTGTGTGTGTGTGTGTGTTTGTGCGTAAAGGAATCCTCCAGTTTTAACCTCTCAGTGAAAATAAGGAAATCAAGAACTTGTCTATGAGAATTTTACATTCTAAGTAGGACGGAAGCTAACAAAGAAGCAAATCACTAAATAGACTAAGTACAGATTGTGATTACAGCTAGGAAAGAAATACTTTAAATGGTCTAAGTGCACCTTGGGAACGGCCTGTTAGAGGACAGGGCATCTCCAGAAAGAGGTGATGTTTAAGCAAAAGCTGACGGAAGACCAGCACTGCTTGGGGAAAGGGCTTTCCAGGCAGAGCGTAAAGCACTCGCAAAGGCCCTAAGATGGAAATGGGCCTGGTTTATTTGAAGACACAAAAGATCAGACCAGTGCAATAGGAGTCTAGTAACAGGATGAGGCAGCATATGGTAAGTTCAGGTGAGAAAGCATAGTGTACAAACCTTCAGAACTGTGTTAACATACGGGATTTTATTCTAGAGTAAGGGTTTATCTAGGGAACTAACATCACCCCATTTATATTTTGATTTTTTTCAAATTTCTTTTTTTTTCTTTATTAAATTATTATCTGTGTACATATCTTACCATTGCCTCCCCTTCCCATACATGCCCTCCCTCCCCAGAGTTTTGTGCCCATTGGTTGTACTCACATGCATGTATACAAGTCCTTCGATTGATCTCTTATCTCCCCCAGATCTCCCTACCCTCCCTGCTGTAATTTGACAGTCTGCTTGTTGCTTTACTGTCTCTATATCTATCTTTTGGTTCATGTTTATTATCCATAAATGATCAAATTTCTTTATTGATTAAGGTATTACATATGTGTCTTTATCCCACCGTTATCTCCCCAATCCCCCACCCCCAACTCATGACCTCACCCCCCTGTTGTCTGTGTCCATTGGTTAGGCTTATATGCATGCATACAAGTCCTTTGGTTGATCTCTCCCCCTTACCACCTACCTTCCCTCTGAGGTTTGATGATCTGTTCGATGCTTCTCTGTCTTTGTATTATTTTTGCCCATTTATATTTTTAAATATCCCTTGGCTACTGAATTGATACAGTTTGCAAGAAGTGTGAGGGAAAGCAGGGGCCATCTAAAAAACCAACACAAAATCCAGATGAATATGGGGTAAGTGGTTTGGACTAAGGGGATGACTGTGGAAGTAGAGAAAAAGTGTGCAAACTTGAGAATTACCTTGGAGATAAAACTAGAATTGGACAATGGATTGAAAAGTAAAAAAAGGATTGGTAAGGGAATCTGCTGGCTGTTAGTTGATCTACACCAGTGATTTTCAACCAGTGTGTGGCAAGAATTTTTAAAACATTCAATATCTGTACTATTTAGTCAGGAGTGCTGACCTCTTTTCCCTTAGATGGTAAAAATAAATAAATAAATAAAATTATTTACAGCCAACACAATAGCTGTCTGGTATAAATAAATCAAAATTATACCTATTTTTTTTTGTCAGATTGGCAAAAATGTAATTTTTTGGTGTGGCACAGAACTTTAGTAATTAGTTTATGTGTTCCACGAGGTGGGGAAAGTTGAAATTGCTGATCTGCCTCAAACAAATGTATTAACTCATCTTTGCTCTGTATGTCACTCATTCTGTAGCTGGATAACTGGGCATGGACACAGCAGACCAAACTACCGTGGAAACATGAAGGCTCTTTCTCAAGCCTCTGCTTAGTCACATCTGTCCACATCCCATTGGTCAAAGCAAGTCACATGGATTAAATCAGAATCAAAGGCCAGGGAAATAGGCTCAACCTCTTGACGGTGGAAGCTGTAGAGCACACTACGAAGGGCATGGGTATAGGAAGGGCTGAGAAATGAGAAGACAGTGCTTTTCAAATAACTGACAGCTCTTTGTTAACAGCCAGAGGTTAGAATAGCTGTGAATTATTGAAAATGGTAAGTGCCTATCACTGCCAGAGAAATCAGTAAGCCTAGGAAGCAAGAATTAAAGTGGCAAATAAATGCTAGACTGTGAAGAGCCCAAGGGTATGTTCTCTGGCCAGTTTTCTTTTATCACAGCAAAGCAGACATTGCAGGACAACACAAGATAGGCTGGCAAGCAATTCCATTCTCCCTTTAGTTTAATTATAAATGCTTCCCAGTTAGTAGTTACCTGGTGCCTTCCTTGAATGGGATTCTGCTGGGCCCTCCAACAGGTATGTTGCCCCCAGAAGACCACAGTAATTTTCTTGGATGAAGCAGAATTTCTGCTACTGTCCCCAGGCCATCCATTCCAACAGTCAGGTGAGGGTGAAGCTGGTGGTGGTCACAGTGTATTTTCGCTCTAGTTTTTTTCTTTGTTTGTGGGGTTTTTTTTACTCAGGACATAAATTGTGGGCCCTTCATGACATCCATCATAATTTTTAACTTTATTGAAACAAAAGAAGATAAACGTCTCTCTAATTTCCAGGAACATAAAAAATAAAAACAAGGAAACAGGTTGTTGAAATGAACAAGAGCTTTCAGCAGAAGGTCTACAGGTATAGCGTGCTTCTCTCCATCACCGTAGGTCTGTGGCCTGCCTTTGGAAAGGGCAGGAAGCCCTGGGGTACCTTACTCAAAAACAGTAGATAAAAGTCAGGGTCTGGCAAGCCCATCTGCTTCCCTGAGGAAGAAAATATTATAAAATAGTAATGTCAAGACCCCACACGACGCAGTTTCCCGAGGGTCTCTGGGTTAACTCAACCAACATGCCCCCTTCCATGTAAATTTGGAATCATGATGGGGCTGGGAAATTAGCTGAATGCACCAACTATGTTGGCATGTGGTGCACGTGAAAAGGTGCCATCTGTGCCTCAGCTGGAAAATGTTGATGTATAGGTGTGACGTTTTTAATGCTCCATCTGGGTTTAATAAACTTGTCTCCTTAAAATAAGAAATAGCCATATTTGATATAGATCCTTTCTTATAAAGCTCTCCATCTATCCTTCATTTTTTTTCCTGTAGACTTATTTCATGAGACATATTGAGATGAAATATGAAAGTTAAGAGGAAAGGTCTTTGGGGGATGGCTGCCATGTTTGTTATTTTTCCCTTTGGCTGACTTGTTCTTTATTTTCTTGTCATTTAACAACACTTCCCATATGCAAAATTTCCTTTCACTCTCCTGAAAATATGCTCTGACTGCATAAGTGAATAGACAGCAGAAGGAGAAAAATCATCTGTTATCTACACATAGGAGGAAAACAGGACATGAATTTGCCAGAATAGCCAGTTCCCACATTTCCAAACCAAGAAAAGCTGCAATTATTTTTTTTTCCTAAACACCATGTTAGTTCTAAAGAACATTCTGAGAATAAGAAGAAGGGTAATTGGAAGCATAATTTGAATTCAGAGTGACTTGCTTCTGAAGCATTAAAAGCTTAAAAGGGAATAAGTGTGTGGAGGGGACTCTTACCTGCCTCTCTCCAGGTACGATTAGAGATTTGAAATCTGTTGTTGCCTTGCTATGGCAATCTTCATACTTAAATTCCCAGTTGTTGAACTTTTTTCATATTATTCCTTTGGGAGAGCCCTTCAACTACTGCTTTTCCTGAATTCCTGGCCTGTCACTGCCCTCAGTGCCTGCCATTTCTATTAGCACATCCCACTTCTCTAGCCAGACAAAGGACGACAGCATAGACCAGGAGGAATTTGGCTGTGCTCTCAGCAAAAGCACTTAAATGTGTTCTTTCTGGGTGATAGAGGCCAACAATTGAACGTAATTCCAAAGGGTCAGTGCCAACTTCAAAAGCAGAAATTTGGCCTCTTGTTCTATTCAATTTCATTTAAATAAATATGTAAGTATGTGCTGGGAGCTTCAGAAAATACAAAGATTAGAATAAGCCATATTGTCAAAAAGTTTACAATGTAGAGGGAGAATGAGTCCCCATAACTAGAAAGCAGTTCTCAATGTGTGGTCCTCAGAACAACAGCATCAGCATCAATTGAGATGTAGCTAGAAATACAGATTTTCAGATTCCACCCCAGATCTTCTAAAGCTGAATCTCTGGGAGTTGGGCCCAGAAATCTGCATTTTAGTACGTCTTCCAGATGACTATGATGCTCCCTGGAATTTAAGAAGCACCTCGGTAAAGCAGTAGAGCATGAGCATCATAAGAGAGGAACAAAGTGCTCAGAGTAAAGAAGAAATCACATCTCTTTTGGAAGGAGGACTTCCAGGAATGACAGTACTGCTGTAGACTTTTAAAGTTACAAAAGATATTGACATTTAGCGGATAGAGTAGGAAGAGAACGTTCTTGGTAAGTAAAACATGAGCCAAGTAACAGAATTGAGAAAGCAAACTGACCCAGCCAATGTGGCTCAATGGTTGAGCATCCACCCATGAACCAAGAGGTTCCCAGTTCTATTCCCAGTGAGGGGTGTGCAGGAGGCAGCCCATCCAGGTTTCCCTCTCATTGAGGTTTCCATTTCTCTATCCCTCCCCCTTCCTCTCCCTCTAAAAAAAGAAAATCAATACAAACATATTCTTTTCAAAAAGTTTTGTTTTGAAAAGGAAGGAAGGAAGGAAGGAAGGAAGGAAGGAAGGAAGGAAGGAAGGAAGGAAGGAAGGAAGGAAGGGAGGGAGGGAGGGAGGGAGGGAGGGAGGGAGGGAGGGAGGAAAGGAGGAAGGAAATCAAAGAGTCTATTAGATTGATTGGCACAAAAGAAGGTGGAGATGAGGGTTGAAAGATAGGTTGGGGTCTCAAGTGCCAGGCTGAGGAGTGTGTTGTCTAACCCAATGGTAATGACAAGCCACTCTGGTTTTTAATCAGAGACGTACCAGGATTAGAGCAGTGTTTCTAGAAAATTCATGTCAGGGTTTCTATAAGATAACTAGGAGTAGGAAGGTATCCAGGAAGTAGGGAAACAACTTAGTGGATGATTGCAATATTTTGGGTAGGTAACAATGGAAGTTTCACCTAGGAAGTTTGCGAAGGAGATATAAAAGTGAGAGAATTAATTGAAGAAAATTTGAAGGATTAGATCAATAGAATTTAGAATTTGATTCAATATTAGGAGGAAAAGAATGAGGAGAATCAAAACCTTGATTAATAAGAGATTAGGCATGTCATAAACCAAAGACTAAGGCAATCATGAGTAGGAGTTGGTTTTGGAAGAGATTTGTTTTGAACATAGCTGGAATTCTGTAGCACGATGCTTTGTGACACTGAAAATGTAGGCACAGAGCTAATAATAATATCTATAACATTTGACCACCTAGGCTATGCCTGGCTAGGCACATGAACTAGGTACATGACCTATATTATGTCATGTAAACCTTACATTGACTTTATGAAAAGGCATTATTATGCCTTTTTTATTACGTAAATAAGATACTGTTGCATATAACAGAAAATCCACAATAACAATGGTTTATTCTAGCATGTAGAAGAAATCAGGAGGTGGGCAGAGCAAAACAGATATGGTGGTTACAGCAAAGTCACTAGGTAGGCAAGTTCCTTTTAATGTCCTGCTTCACCATGTTGCACTGGGGAATTCCACCCTCAGGGGTAAGTCATTAGCCAAGACTGTGCTGACCCTCCAGGTACCAGGGAGGTAATGGCTGAAAATATGGAAATGGATGTGTGTTGAGAGATTGAATATAAAGAATGGGAGGTTGGAAGAAAAAAATTTTGAGAATAACCACAGAAAATGAGAGGATGCCCAGAAAAATAACCACAGAGAATGAGAGGATGCACAGAGAAGATAGAAGTGCCATGTCAACAAAAGGCAAGAAAACTAGGCTTCTAAATAGAAGGTGAGATGGGTAGGTGGTATCCAGTGGTGCTGCCATCAAGACTAAAAAATTCTTAATGGTTGGAGAAGAAGAGGTCCTTGGTGACCTTCCAAAGAACAGTGTCTATGAGACCAGATCTTAGTGTGAAGAAAATATTAGCTGGTGGAGCACTGGAACAATAATTTCTCTTTCATAAAGTTTGGTGCTTCAGGGAAAAGGAGCAATCATGGTAGTGAGTAAGCTGAGCAGTGTTGAGGTAATGTTTTCATTGATTAGAAGACCTGAACACAATTTCCCTTTATGATGTCAAGTCTCTCAGAGACCAGATTTAAATTGCTTGAGTGTGTGGGTGAGACAACAAACTACTTCTCCCATGATCAGCATCTCCAATTCAATTCCTCCCAGGGAAAATGAAGCGAGTGTTGGCTGATATTATATCATAATAAAGGGCTGATGTTACATGTTTTAAAGACTGTCTGATAAGCTTCATTAATTCATTTTTTTGTTGTTGTTTTCCCCGCCAAAAGCTGGATGGAAACTCATCTAACTCTGGCTTGGGTTCATGAAGAAAAATTAAATTGTGAAAGTGAGGATGTTTCATTAGCGGTCTGCCCTCCCCCAAGGTCACAGAAGGCTCTCTGGGGGCTTTGTAAGGCTGCAGAATCCGGACTGCTAGGGATGCGGCTCCATTTTCACAAAAATAAATATCAGGTTACAACACATTGTTTTTACAGCTGACTGAGGCTTTAGTGTGGTGGATGTTTTCCTTCTACAACTGCAAAAAAAGAGAGAAGTTGCTGGCAGGGCAATGGACAGTGTTTGCATCATTTCTTTATGAAGCTATTTCTCTCCTCAAGGACTGTTTTCCCAAAGGATTCCTCCCCCTTTCCCCCTCACTCCCAACAAATCCCTGGTGTTTCTGCAGTGCTGAGCATGCAGGCCTGCTTTGAAGGCTGTTATAAATGAAGACAGAGTTGGACCTGTTTTCTTGGTACCTTTCATCCTTCCTCCTACCTTCCCACCCAACCCACATCTCCCACACTGGGTACCTGTGTACTACACACTTATGAAAGGACGGAGGAGACTGAAACCACAGTACACTTGGCAATCATAAATTTCTAACCTGAAATGATATGCCATAAAACCCTACATACTAAAAGCCGCCTGAAGCAAATCCAAATATTCTGACTTTAAAATAGCAACACATCTTTTACCAGCTACTTTGTGGAACAGTTTCATGCACATGCATGCTTGTTGAAATTAAATGCATTTCATTTTTCTCCTTTTTATTTTCCTCCTGGAGAGACAGCAGTTTTGAGAGCAGCACTCGTTTTCTACCTTTTAAAGAATAAATATGAACACCCAAAGTAGATTTCAAGCTACCTGACTAGGTTTTCTATATAGATTGATTAAGCCTGACCCTACATGGGAAACTGGAAACATATAGGAAATGGAGTTTCTTTATTGAACCTGTCTTTTACTATGCCAATGCTGTCACAGGTCTGTCTCAGTTTAAATGCCCCCAAACACACTCACACACATACACACACACACATACTCCGAAACAAACTAAGATGAAATTTTGAGAACAACTAGTTTATTTGGGAGATGATTACAAGAAACACTGGTAGTGAAAGGGTTAGTTAGCTAGCTTAATTAAACAGGTTTAGGGAGCCAGAGAGATAAGGGGGTAGGAATACATAATGAAGACTTGAAGATGCCAGGGTGTTTATCTTATTTGCACAGAGAATAAAGAAATGCCACAGGAAAATAGAAATATATCTGTCCTGTGCAATTAAGACAGCCATAAACCAAAGACAGGGGTATCTTTGGCCTGAGCAATTAAAGTGACCGTAAGTTAGGCCAAAAGTAGCCCTGACCTGAGTTGCTGGGAGGGCCATACGATAAGGCTTTCTCTGCCAGCACAATTGGAAGAGCTATAAGATAAATCAAAAGTGACTCCAACCAGTAAGATAGAAAATAGGGGGCACCACGTGGGCTTTGAACTTTGCAAACTAATTCTATGTAACAGAATGACCAATAAGGAGGGGTCAGGTTCAGACAAAGAACTGCAACCTATTTAATGCCTCAAGACAAAGAAAGTGGTGGTCACCCTTCTCAGGGGCCCCTCTGTCCATCTAGGAGGGACAGAGTCTTAGGCTTAGAATTTAGAACTAGGTTTTAGAGGTAGTGTCTGCTTGCAATCAAGTTTCTGTACTTTTCACCTATCTCCTTTTGTCCGTGGCTTCCTTCTTCAAATCCATCGGGACAAGAACCTGGGGAAACAGATCACCCTGCTCAATAAATCAACCCAAATCCGTAGGGAACTGCAGACATGAGCAGTGGAGAGAAGACAGCCAGCAAAGGATGTCTTGATGAGAAGTTGCCACTGTGGGCAACCAGTGCTTGACGCTACCTGGGATCTCTAGGAGACATTGTAGAACATGCACAGAGAAGTCCTACTTGAGGGTTTTGGAAGCTTGGGCATTTATCAAGGCAACACTCATTGGTCATTGCTTGACAACCCTGTCCAGAGATGTCATTTCTTCCCAAGTTCATCTATAGGTATAATGCAATTCTGTTTTAAACTCCAGCAATTATTTTGTAAATGTGAAGGGACAGATTCCAGTGTGTATATCAAAAGCAAAAGACCTCGAATAACTAACACAATACCAGAAGAAGAAAAAAAGATCAGAATTGGAAGATTCAAACTACCCAATTTCAGGGTTTTCACAGAGCTACAAAAAAAACACACAAAAAACAGCATGTTGTTAGTGAAAAAAGAAATAGACACATGGATCAATGGAATAGAATAGAGAGCCAAGAAATAGATCCACACAAATATTAGTCAACTTATTATTGACAAAAGCTCAAAGGCAATTCAACGAGAAAGGACAGCTTTTCAATAAATGGTGCTAGGACCTAGATAATACCTTTTCAGAAAAATTAACTCACACATTTCACAAGAATTAACTCAAAATGAATTACAAACCTAAAAGTAAAGTGTGCACAACTATAATTTTCTAGAAGAAAATATAGAAGGCAATTTATATGATTTGGGGTTAAAGCACACTCTAGGAAAGGAAAAATTGATATGTTGGATTTATTAAAATATTGCTAATAAAATGAATGACAGAATGAGGGGAAATTATTGCAAACCAAATATGTGATACTTATATCCAAAATATACAAAAAATTCTTAAAATTCATCAATAAGAAAGGAGATCTAGCTAAAATGTATATTGTCAAAATTAATTTTTTTAAAAAGGCCGCTAGAGTGTTTTTCTGATTTTGTATATAATAAAAGGCAGATATACAAATCGACCAAACAGCAGAACGATGGTCACTATGATGCACACTGACCACCAGGAGGCAGATGCTCAACACAGAAGCTGCCCCCTGGTGGTCAGTGTGCTCCCACAGGGAAAGTGCTGCTCAGCCAGAATCCAGCTCACAGTTGGAGAGAGCAGCAGCAGTGGCAGGAGCCCTCCTACCTTCTCGTTAGTGCTAAGCCTTCAGTTGGACATCCCCCAAGGGCTCCAGGACTGCTAGAGGGCACAGGCCAGGCTAAGGGACCCTCCCTGAGTGCATGAATTTCATGCGCCAGACCTCTAGTAATAACAATAAATAATCGGAAAAATAATTTTCAGTAGTCTTTATTTTCCCTTTTTACAAAATAAGCAAGGAAAGGCTGGGTGGTACAATGCATAGGCCTGGATTTTAAACACACAGACCTGGGATTGAATAACATGTGCTTCTACTCATTAGCTGGGTGAATCAGAGACAATTATTTCTATTTCTAAGCCTCATGTCCTCATAGTTTCCTTCTGAACTCCTGCTTTTAAAACTTGAGCAAAAGGGATTATACTATGGGAGAAGGAATTAAAGGAAAGATTGATAGTCAGATAAAGGGGAGTGGTCTTTAAATGGGAGAGCAGTGCACGCTGAACTGGAGAACCTGGGCCCCATGCCTCACAGTGCCCTTAGGTAGTATAAGATCGCAGAGGAACCTCAAACCAACACTGACCTCCCATCCAGGACAAGACTGTGTGCTCCTCTGGGCCCTGAAGCAGTCAAGTCCCTGCCTTCCTGATCCCCTGGAGAGCAGTGAGGAAGACTGCCCTGCTGGACTGGAAATCAAAGGTCTCCTCCACTTTCTAGCAGTGCATAAGTCTCCCATTTTTCTCATTGATCCCAAGGAAGATCAGGATCTCCAATACTTACAAGGATTTCCTGACAATCTGGTAGGTTGAAAGTCAGAGAAAGATAATTTTATTTGAAAAAAATATAGATGTATGACACTACCTATAAAACTGACATATATATATATATATATATATATATATATATATATATATATATATATATATATATACCAGAGGCCTAGTGCATAAATTCATGCACCAGTGGGGTCCCTTGACTTGGCCTGCAGGGTTGGACTGAAACCAGCCTCCAATATCCCCCAAGGGGTCCCAGATTGCGAGAGTGTGCAGGCCAGCCTGAGGGACCCAACCCGTGCAAGAGGGAGGGATATGGAAGGTTGGCCAGCTGGGAAGAAACCTCCCTTGGGAAAACTCTGGGCATCTCTGGCCCATCTCACTCAGTCCAGATCACTGGACCCTAGAAGCAAGCTAACCTACTGGTTGGAGTGTCTGCCCCCTGGTGGTCAGTGCACATGATAACGATTGGTTAACCAGCCAGCTGTCTGCCCTCTGGTGATCAGTGCATATCATAGCTTGCAGTTGAGCGGCCTTAGCATATCATTAACATATTACATTTTGATTGGTTGAACTGAATACCAGACATCTGGACACTTAGCATATAGGATATGATATATAGGATATGAAGTCACACGTGCTTGATACACATGAACAGGGAAACAAATGTAAGAGTATATACCAACATGATCATAGTTGGTGAACTGAGTAATGGAATAATAAGTGATTTTTTTTTCTTTATTTAGCTGTGCTCTTTGAATCCCATACAATGAGAATATGTTACCTATGGAAAAATAAGGAGGGAAAGACTGGGTGGTATGATGCATAGCCCTGGAGTTTAGACCCACACAGACCCGGGATTGATTAATATGTGCTTCTACTCCTTAGCTGGGTGAATCAGAGACAATTATTTCCATTTGTAAGCCTCATGTTCTCATCTATAAGGATGATGTCAACCTTATAAAGTTATCATAGAGATTATAATTAATCTATTATTACATAAAGAGTGCAGAATAGTTTCCCACATAACTGCACATATAAGTACTTAAGATAATTATATACTTTATAGTATGTAAATTATATTTCAATAAAGTTTATAAAAAAGACACAAAGTAATTATGATGTTTTTGTATGAATAATTAGATCAACTGTAGAAAGAGCCAATCTAGATGTTCTGAAAGTATTTAAAAGGTTGCCATAGGTCCATTATTTATATCTTTAAAGGTAGAAATAAAAGCATTGCTTTCCATTAGAGCCTAAGTGAGAGAGGAGACTCGGGAACAACCATTAGGAGTAGAACTGTGGCAGGAGCTAGGAGAATTCCTGGCATGTGGAATGGGGTAACAGAAATAAGAAAATTAAACAAGGCTAAACGGTTTGGGCAACTTACAGACAGCTTGTGAATCACAAGACCTTCCCTTCCCTAACCAAGCACACTTGAGAGCAAAGAGTTTATACCCTCCTCCCTAATCAGAAAATGCATAGCTTAAATCACCCTGGCCTGGGAAAATAGAGAACAAACACCCAATTAATGCCATGGGTGCCAGCTACACCCAAGGACAAATAACAAAAACCTCATTAATACCAGACAGACCTAAAATAAAAGTAAAACAATACTACAGTACAACAGACCAAAGAATAATCCAAAACTCCCCTATACTCTCATTTTGATGCATTAGCATATTAAAAATACACCCAGGCTGAAACTGTTTGGCTCAGTGGATAGAGCGTCAGCCTGCGGACTGAAAGATCCCGAGTTCAATTCTGGTCAAGGGCATGTACCTAGGTTGTGGGCACAACCCCACTAGGGGGTGTGCAGGAGGCAGTTGATCAATGTTTCTTTCTCATGGATGTTTCTAACTCTATCCCTCTTTCTTCCTCTCTGTAAAAAATCAATAAAAAGAAAAAAAAGAAAAAATATATATATATATAATACACCCAGAAAGCGGATGGATATTGTACTGAAACCATCCCCTAAGATTATCTCTGGCAGAAAAGGAAAAGATGAAAAGGCCTCAGGACAAATACTCAATGCAGGCTCACTCTAGGTAGGGGTGTCGAACTCAATCAGAGAAGGGGCCAAAATTTAAAATCCTAATCGCGGGCCGAATGGTTTACTGAACAGTCATAAACTGTCATTGTGATGGAAACGCAGCGGAGTGCAGTGATGACAGCCACATTGCAAGGCCTGAAGGGATGAATTTGGCCCGAGGGCCTTGTGTTTGACACATGTGTTAAGGACTCACAACCAGGAGAACAATGGACAGTGGCAGCTCCACCCAGGCTCACCTTTGATCCTATCTCCAAGGCCCCCTTTTCTCTGACTTCCAGTGAGCTGAAGCAGCCCCACCTTGGCTCATTTCTTTTCGATAACATTTCTAGAGCCAAAGCAGAGCATCGCTTAGGCTCTCTTTATTGTTTCTTCTTTATTCCACTGTCCCCAGCTTTAATAAACATACTTTCAAATCCATCTGGACTCGTATTGTGAAATCTCTCCTACAGGAAATCAGGAACCCACACACAACAGCCCAGCCTGAGGCAGACCTGCTCCTGGCCAGTAGCTGACCCATAGCAGAAATTAGGGTGGAGAGAGAGGCATGTAAAAGGGTTGCTAGGAGGGATTGCTGGATGGGATGCAGTACAGTGAGTGTCTCTTAATTCCTCCATGAAAAATTGTCATTAATGTTTTCACATTATTTTCCAAGGCTTTTGATTCAGGGCTCCAAGATCACTGATGTTCTGAAACGTTGAAAAGCTTGTGAAATGAAAATGTGGTAGGCAGTTACACACGCATGAGCAGAGCAAGGACAATGAGCCAGGTACAGGTCAGCAGGGAGGAAAGTGCCAGGTGCCAAACAATGGACAATCAATCAAGTTGCCCCCAGGGTGACCCCTTGACCTTTCCTCCTTAGAGATAACACCTAAGCCTCAACTCCAGGCTCAGAAAAGCAATAAAACCTGAGTCAGGACCAGCTACATTGAATAATCACTGATTGGTGCCAGCCAATCAATCAGTGGAGACATAGACCCTGAAAGGATACACCTGGAAAACTGCTGAATATTCTATTAAGATCAGCTCCTGGGACCGCCCCTAAAATCTCCACCCTTAAAACCTTTAGGACAGAGGACCCAGTGTGCTCTCCCTCCTAAGAGCATGCTCCTGCCCTTCCCTTTTCCCTTCCCCTCCCTGCCCCAGGCACTTACCATTAGCTTCTTCACTCCCAAGCTCCAAAGGCTCTTCCATAACTTGTTTCCTAAGCCCTTCTAGGAATTACTTCTTCTGCCTCTGGGATTTACCAAAATGTTCTCTTATAGTTTGGGTCTTGCTTTGAATTCTTTCCTAGCCAGAACCTAGATACCGAGGTTGCTGAACCCAGGTCAAGTCTGACCCCAAAGGTCACACCCTTTCCTGCAGTCTACAATAAAAACAGGACAGTAGGCCCACGGGCTACGTCAGAGATCCATTCCTAGGGTGTGATGTAACATGATTTTGGCCATAAGTTGGAACCCACCTACATAAGCACCTACATAAGTCACTTACATGGAGCACATACACAGCAGTAATGAAGAGAAACAGTAAAAAAAATAATAATAATAAATAAATAAATAAATAAAAATTAAAATAAAGATAAAAATTCCTAACCTTTACTTGTGGCAAATGAATAATAAAAAACATAAAGCACATATGTACATATGTCGGAATGACAGACCTTTTTCTTTTCTTTTCTTTTCTTTTTTAATAAATAAATGGGGCCGAAACCGGTTTGGCTCAGTGGTAGAGCATCAGTCTACGAACTGAAAGATCCCGGGTTCAATTCCAGTCAAGGGCATGTACATTGGTTGCGGGCACATCCCCGGTAGGGGGTGTGCAAGAGGCAGCTGGTCGATGTTTCTCTCTCATCGACGTTTCTAGCTCTCTATCTCTCTCCCTTCCTCTCTGTAAAATATCAATAAAATATATATTTTAAAAAATAAATAAATAAATAAATAAATAAATGGGAGATGGTGATGTAACCATGAAACTATATACGTCAAGTTTGACGTAACCCAAGGACTGTCTCTATAGCTTAAAAGACAGCTCGGTCTATTTCCTATATTTCTCTTAAAATTTTACACAATGTGAAACACAATATAAAGACAATGATTAAGCAAAGGTCATTTTGTAAAGTTTACTTTTCCTTCCATTTGATTTCTACAGCTTTCAAGTATCTGCTGCTACTCAGCCCATCTGTTGTCCTATTTTGATTGTTTTTGGCAAACAGATGCAGGAGGCAAACACTACATTGCATTTTCCATTTTATATAACCCTGAAGATACAAATATAATATTAGGTTTTCTTTTTCTTTTCTTTTTTAATGTTTTTATTGATTCTTAGAGAGAGAGAGGAAGGGAGAAGGATAGAGAGATAGAAACATCGATGAGAGAGAAACATCATTGATCAGCTGTCTCCTGCACACCCCCTGCAGGCGTCTTCAAACTACGGCCCGTGGGCCACATGCGGCCCGCAGAGGAGTCTGATCCGGCCCGCCAGGTTTTTTGGGCAGTGAGCGCAGCCGAGGTGTTACAGTAGGAATTAGTAGTTCATATAGTCCGGCCCTCCAGCAATCTGAGGGACCGTGATCTGGCCCCCACTTTAAAAAGTTTGAGGACCCCTGCAACTGGGATTGAACCCACAATGTGGCCATGTGCCCTGACCTGGAATCAAACCAGGAATCAACCACTGAGCCATAGGGACCAAGCTTAGGTTTTCTTTTGTAGAGAAAAATTTCAAAGAACAGGACTACACCAAAAATATCACTAAATGTTTCCAGTGGGAAATGAGGCATTGAGCAGCATACTACTCCAGGTTATCTGATTCTATGGGGTCTTTACACCTTTTTTTGTGTTGATGTTCTATGCAAATCTGTAGGTTGTAGATAAGGGGGGGGGGGGGAAGATGCAAACAATTATTGCCCACAAATATGCAAATGAATTTGAGGAAGGTTCAATGAATTCTCCTCCCTTTCTGTGGCAGAAGACATTTTACCACCAGTTAAGCAAATTCAAATGTATTGCAACATTCCTGATGGCCCACGTATGTGCATTGCCTTTGGATTCTCCTTTGAACTGGTTGCAAATCTTATTGGTTCCTCATTAATTAATGAGTTAAATAAAATATTTGATATGTGCCTATTTTATATATGCATCATAGTCATGAGCTTCATTTTTCTAAAAAAATATATATATATTTTTTATAACTTTTTAAAATTGATAGTCTTTAAGCTTCTAAGAGCCCAGCTGAATATTAGTCCTAACCTGAGTTTCAACTGGACAAAATAAACTGAGTTACTCTTTTGGAGTGAGGAATAGCAGGGGATAGTTGGGGAATAGCATAGCTGAACTGACCTTCTATGCATCAGTCAAGGATCTTAACTGTATATCTCCAATGAATTCAGGGGTGCCGGTATCCGGCATCAAGAAGGATTCAGAAATCTGCTGTGGGTAAATTAATCGAGAGTTCAGAGAGGAAACATAATTTTGAAAGGAGTTTCAGAGAAGACTTAGCTAAAGGAACTAAGTTCTCTTTGTCTTAGGACCCCTTGCTTTTTATTAACACAATTTGTCCTAAGGCAAGATACACATCAAAGGGTAGGGTTAGGTATAGAATCCATTGTCAGAGTGGGGAATTGCCTTCTGATGTTCAGGTGTTTGGCCAACAGGAGGCAATAACATGTAGACTGAGATCCCTCATCTGTCTGGCAGCAAGCAATCAATTTATGTATCCTTTTCAGATTTGGGGAAATGCCTTTAGCCATTCCCAGATGATTCAGCCCTGCTGACATGCTGAAATTGGTTTCTGGCACAGGGGAACCAAGTTATAATCTGTGTTATATTGTAAATCAGAAGATGCCTTAATCAATAAGTCAAATTAATTTGGAGTACTGTTTTGCTAGAGCCAGCGGGCTCAGAGGAAATCTTGCTTCTCAAATTCTGGGGCCAAATATGGTGGAAGTCTCTCTTATTTATATGTTTTGCAGCTCTTTGTTTTCCAAATTTGTAATGAGACTTCTGGACCTTCTGGGAAAAAGTCCTGTGTGCTGGGACAGGCCTTGAGACCAGATCTCAAGGCCTGGCCTGGAGCCAGTACTGACAACTCTGTTTGAGGCATAGTTTATGGCCTCTCTAGAATGGGGAGCAGTCTTATTTTTCCCTTATTATTTAAGCAAGCAAATGTTTACAGAAGCCAGAATAGCAGGGTGTCCAGCTAACAGGCACCTGCCTGAATGCCTCTTGTTGACTATACTTGATTCAAATTAGGCTAAGGCAGCACCCTAAATTCTCCTTCCTGAAGTCAATTTCTCTTTCTGAATCTCTGGGGCAGGAAAGCGGGGGAGGGTCAAAGGTTCTTTCTGAGTCTTTTGTTTTCTAATAAACAGCATAAAATCAATCTTCAGGGTGGCAGAATTTTGGTCCCTTTATTACTGGTGGAAGTGGGGTTCTTGAGGTACTGCTAGAGTAAGTATTCCTGGAGGCCCCCATGGGAGCATGAGATATTGTAGACAGCTTTATATTTGTGGAATTAAATCCAAGTTTCCAGCCAAAACCGGTT